GGCAGGTTCCCTCCCTGCGGCCGGCCTGGGCGCCGCGCCTGCGCAGAAGCACACAGGCAGCCCGGGCGGCTTCCCTGGGCCTTGGGAACGGATCCCTGATCCCAGGAATTCCCCCCGCTTCTCCCGGGAGTTCCCCTGAGTGCTGGAGACAGAAAAGGTGCTTAGGCAGGAGGGGTGGGAGCGGCTGGGCCGTCACTGGTACGGGTCTGCGCCCACCGCACCACTTCTGGGCCGGGCCTGCCTGGATGGAGTTCCCTGCTCTGCCCCTCTGTGTGTGGTCCTGGAGACCCCACGCCTTCACACCGAGCACCCCATCAGCCCTTCTTCTATTGTATGTTTCTGAGACAGCGTCTCACTGTGTAGTTCAAGCTGGCCTTGAACTCAATATGCTCAAACTGGCATTGAATTTACACGGATCCTCTTCAGCCTTCCTAGTGCTGGAATTCTAGGCGTGCACCACTACATCCCTATCTTTTTATTTTGAGTCTGAGTCTCGCTAAATTGCTAAGTTGCCCAGGTCGGGCCTGAACTTGGGATCCTCCTGCCTCAGCCTCACGGAGTGCTGAGATCACGCCTCACTCTGGCTCTGCCACTTGGCAGCCCTGTGAGTTCATCTCTATGCATTCCTAGAACAGCGTGTAGCAGACAAGTGATCCGTAAATGTTGCCATTGGCTGGAACTCATTCCCTTCATTCTCACAGCATCCTGATGGGGTAGAGTAATATTTATTATTTTCATTTCACAGATTTGGAAACCAATGATCAGGGAGGCAAGAGGCAGCCAAAGTCGAGGAAGGACAGATTCTGTGCCAGTTTCCCCTCCCCCGGGGACGGGACAGGGCCTGGAGAGGTGTAGACAGTCTGAACCCCCATCCTGCTGTGTCGGATGCCCTCCAGGCTCTGGCCTCCTGCCCACAAGGGATCCTTGGGTCCTGCTCTGGGGAACCAGTGAGGGGCCACTGGTGGGAAGTGCACTTCTAAAAGTCAGGGACCGGAACCTGGTCCCAACTGTCCCAACTCCGCAGCTAAGGCACCCTGTGCTGTCAGTGGTCTCATGGTCACTGGTTTGACAAGATTTGTTGAGAGCCTGCTGTGTGCTGGGCATTGCCCTGGACACAAACAGAATGACAGGCACAGCAAGACCTCCATCCTCATGCAGCTAACACTGAAGTGAAGGAGGCACCACTGAGAAAAACTAAACCCTCAGGGAGCTGGGGATTTAGCTCAGAGGTTCTGCCACCTGCCTTGCAAGTGCAAGGTCCAGAGTTCAATCTCCGCTACAAAAAAAAAACAGTGTTTAACCAAATTGGATTATGTAAAGGTGCAAATTTCCAATGATGAATGTCATTATGTTGTATACCTTAAATGTACCAATAAAATTAATTTTAAAAAGGAAAAAACTAAACCCCGGTGGGACATGGTGGCACATACCTTGTAATACCAGCACACAGGAGGCTGAGGCAGGAGGATTACTATGAGTTTGAGGCCAGCGTGGGCTATATAGTGAATTCAAGTCCAGCCTGAACTGCATAGGGAGACCCTGTCTCAAAAAACCAAAAAGAAAAACACCAAGAGCAAAAATAAAAGATTGCCCCTCTGTCCTTACACCCGAGCGGTAGATAGGTAGATGGGGCCTCTGATTATCTAAATCTGTTTGCAATGCCTATTCTCACGCTCTATCCTGCAACTGCTAAATTAGAAACTGGGGGTGAAGGGCCAGGGATTTAGCTCAGTGGCACTGTGGCTGCCTTGCAAATGTAAGGTACTGAGTTTGATGTTCAGTACCAGAAAAAGAAAGAATCTAGGAGTGGGACCAGCAATCAGTGTTTATTGTTACAGTTGTTTCCAGGGCCTTCCCAGTCCTTTTTTATTTTGAGACAGTGTCTTGCTAGTTATTAAATTGCCCAGGCTATGCTCAAACTTGGAACCCTCCTCCCTCAGCCTCCCAGAATGGGAGGATTACAGTGTGTAGCACTAAGCCTGTGCAATTCGAGTCTTACTCAGCAAGTCCTCCAGGGGACCCCACCCCCATACAGGCTGGACTTTGAGATGACCAGGTAAAGTATTCTGATTGCCTTCACCTGGGAAAGTCCCCCTGCGAAGGGTGGGGCTGGAG